CAAATAAACAGTGTTTAAATTCTATCATTAAATCATTTGCGTCTTCTTAAATTTTGAGTATATTTGGTTACTTTTCACAAAAATTGACATAGAAACATAATTTATAATTACTAAAACTATGATAGTTTTGGTGAGCTCAAACACATACTAAGGGTAGATGTTGTGAAACATTTGTCGGACCTAACTATAAAAAAAAAGACCAAGAGGTGAAAAATCGAAGTATTATAGAAATATGCGGAGTAGCAAAAAATATTAATTTAAAAATAAAATAAATATTTAAACTACATACCTACTTTTTTTTGCCATTTTCTATATTTTTAGAGGTAACAGCTTTTAAAATACTATATTTGATAGACAACAAGTTAGTAACCTTAGCCCACACCAACACATGAGATCACACAGTATAAAACTGCTCCAGAAATCGTCTCCACCGCCGAAATTCAGACCTGGTTGAAGACCATTGAACTATGCCTCAATGAAATATGCTCTATTTCTCAGACGGGAAGTTTAATTCGGACCAGAAACTGAGAATTAACAACTTATGCCGTAAAATGTCCTATGGGACGTTTAAAATGGTCGTACAGTACCAATTCCTGAAACAACAAAAAAACTGCAGACCCATATAACACTATAAGCCCTTAGAGAGAAGCATGTTTTCTCTCAAAGACTTCGGGATCTGAAACTGTATTGAGTCCTCATGACCAGTAGCAGTAACCAACTCCTTCGCTGATATGGTTCAAAATGTAGTTCATCTTAAAATTTTATGAAACGAGCGAAAAAACCTGGTCCCATGTTCAGAAAATTATCAAACCTGAACAAATTAAGTTTCACGACAGGGATCTCAGCAAGACGAGAACCGGTGGTGTTATCATCAGCACTAGACTAAGGAGGATATCGAGGAGCTTAAGCAGTCGCCTCACTGTGGAAGGTACATATAAACGGAAGTCCAGAATTGTCCTTATTGGACTACCAACAGCTCTGCCAGAACTGGAAGTATTCAACTGCTCATACCAACGAAACTTGACCGGTAAAAAAGACATAACACTTGACTCCTTTGTGCTCTCCATCAAACTAAGCCATAATTCGAAAAGAAAATACGCTGCAAGCTGCAATTATATTTGACTACCTCCTTGGTCGAGTGGTTTGTACGCCGGGTTTCATGGTGTCGCCGACTCGAGAGGACCCGGGTTCGAATCCCGATGAGGGCAGATGTTTGTGTGATGAATACGAGCATTTGTACTCCAGTCATGGATGTTTAATATGTATTTCTATATAAATATACTCATATATGTACTGTATATGTATTCTATCCGTTATCTTAGTATCCCATAACAAAAGCCGTACAGTGCTTACTTTGGGGCTAGGCTAATTGGTGTGAGTGTTGGAAATATTTATTTATTGAAGTTTCAGCAAACGTACGCAAGGCCGTCATAAATAAGGAGAGAGTGTATATAAACTGATCTTCGTGTCCCTTAAGAGACTTTACCTTAGTAACTAGGTTCTACAGGTGTCAGCAGTATAGTCACGCAGTCAAAACATGTCGAGAATAGAATTATAACTGCGGTCATTTCGGTGAAATAGGTCACGCCAATAAAGAGTGTTTGAAGAAAGCCGAACCACCGAATTGTGCTACATGTATGCATTTCGAAAAGCTGTTAAAAAGATATATAAATTCCAATAGAATATAAAGACGCTTGAAAGCTCTACGTTTTAGTTATATTTTTAGAAATTTTCGTTTCTTTTCTATTTATATGAGTTAGTTCAATTTCGGATCGAGACTTTAGAAGAATAATTTGATTTAATTCTCATATTTAGCGTTTATTATGGTATTTTTATCATCATCATCATCATTAGCCTATTGATGTCCCCACTGCTGGGGCACAGGCCTTCCCTATGGATGGATAAGGGAGATACCAGACCAACTGCTTAACGCGCCTTCCGAAGCACGGGGGAGCACGAGAGAGAAAATTTTTAGTCACCCGTCCAATGACCGACCACTGCGAAAGTTGCTTAGCTTCAACAATCGCAGCCGAACTCGGTATGCACTTGCGCCATCGAGCTCCTTTTTATTCTTAAGACTTAATACTCACTAGATAACATTTATGCGCGTTTTTTTTGCAGGCTACATTTTGGCAGGCTAAAGCCAGATTTACACTGCTACAGTAGCTGGCGCCAGTCCCGCTGGCATGCCAGCACTGGATCCATGTAAACATTTATTGGCACCAGTCCCGCGCTGGCGCCAGCGCTGGCATGGAGTAGAACGAAGGTCTACTTTTTGTGCCAGTGCCTACACCCCTCATCCCCCGCGCCCCTTACCGGCGTCACTGGATCTTTTTAAACACGTTCACGCCAGTCGCTGGCGCCGCCGTTAAATGTCACCACGTGTTATTAATTTGCTGAAACTTTCGACAAGAAAATGTCTCGAAAGTGGGGTGATGATAACATTACAATTTATATAGCCATGACATGAGACATGAGGAGTGTTTATGGACATCCTTCGCAGAATTACAGAAATAAACAGATGTACCCACCCATGTGTATGTAACCACCCATAATATTTGCTCTTCAATATATATGGAAAGGTTGAATATTGAAGAAGTGAAAGCGAAAATAAAATCATTGTTCATTTTTCCCAAACGTGTAGTCACCACAAAACCTCAAATGCAATGCAGTCCAGTTATTGGCACCGTTTTTAGGCGCCTAAACTGGCGCCAGCTACTGTATCAATGTAAATCTGGCTTAACGATTGCGTTGCACTACAGCTACACGTTGCTTAGCCTGTTGAAAGGCAGGGAACGTTAGTTTTTTCCAAGATTTCTGATTACTTTTTTTTTATTAAAAAATCCACGCGGGCCAGGCAGCAGACTGGCGATCGAATGCACTAACCATTATGGCATAATGGTCAGTGCATTCGCCGCGGCCCCGACAGCCGTGTCTAATTTTCTTTAACCTTTTTTAAGCTGCAAGGCATCTCTTCGCATTGTAGGTAAGCCACAATGTCAACTTTTAAGAAGAGTTAGCGATTATAGTTATATTTTTTAAGCATTTAACTGCTAGATGTTTAAAAATTTTATTAGAAAAAAATCGTCTGCTGCCTCGTCCAAGGGTAATTTTTATTCTTACAAAATTTTCTTAAGATTTAGTTATTTCGCAGTTAAATGCTTAAAAAATATAACATTCTATTTTGTTTCATGAGCTCTTAACAAACCCAAGAACAATTACTAACACAAAAGTGTGCTCAAACAACCCTGCACCAAAAATGTTAGAAAAACCCACCCGCTTTATCGATTGTGTGTAAAAAAAGAACACGACCTACTTTCGTAGTAAAATAAAACGCAAGGGAGCCATCGTGCCACCATAATAAGCTTGTTATGTGGTACGTTATAGTGGTAAAAAGATAGGAAAAACAGGTCGTTTACAGTCACTATTGCGAGTCCCATAAACTGGAATATACCTACACATATCATGACTGTCATGCAGAATTACCAGAACTGGAACAAGAGGATTTTAGAACTTATTCCTATTTAATAAGTAACTACTATCAGAAAACTTTCCTTTCTTATTACTTTTAATAAAGTAATAATTAAAATTTACAACTATCAAATTTTTATTAAGAAACAACATCAGTAGATTCGATGGTGACAGGCAATTTCTTTTTTAAGTCTGGATGTTACCTATTAGCCGTTGAAAAAACCTCCGCGGCGACTGTACACGGTTTGTATGAAAAATATTTTTTTACAAGTGCCAACTAATTTGGCTTGGTAAAACAGGCTATATTAATTTGATTGTTATTTTTAGGGTTCCGTACCTCAAAAGGAAAAACGGAACCCTTATAGGATCACTTTGTTGTCCGTCTGTCCGTCCGTCCGTCCGTCTGTCAAGACCCTTTTTCTCAGGAACGCGTGGAGGTATGAAGCTGAAATTTATATCAATTACTCAGGTCTACTGTCCCTTGAAGCTGTGAAAAAATCAAACTTCTAAGCCAACGCAATCAAAAGATACAGCCGTTTTAAACATCTAGCAGTTAAATGCTTAAAAAATAAATAAAATCATAATTAAATGTGTTGTTAGTAAGTACCTATACAATTTAAACTTCCAACTTTTTTTTTGACCGAAACATAAAGAAAATAGTTTTAACAGTGAAGTGTAAGTTACGCGATGTCTTTTGTTTATCAACCAGAAATATTATTAAGTAAGTATATTACAGAATGAATGATAATGAATTTTACTAATACCTTTCGCTTAGAACTACATATATTTCCTAAGTATATATTTTATACACAAGTTTTGACGCGAAAAAGTTTCTGCAAGTATAATTTTGAATATACAAAGTTCAATTACATGTAACAAACGAGGATAAATCGACAATAAACAACAATCTAATTATACGTATCTCTTCTTGCGAGCGTCTAAAAGGATTTTACCTCACAAGTGGGTAAATCCGATTTTAATGAGAAAAGATGAAAAAAGGACAACGTAAATGTTGCCATAATACCAAAGGAGTCAAAACGATTATTTGATTGAATCGAATTCGTCATTACTTAACATTAAGATTTAATGATGACTTTAAAGTCGATTTAATATGTTAATGCAAATGTTAGTCAATTCCATTAGTCATAAACTACAACATTGAATGATTATAATTTAAATATTATTATAGAAATGATTACGAGATGTATCGAAAATTACTTCTTTCCTTTTCTACTTAATAAGAAGGACAAAAAAATCTTTTTTCTTTTTAGATTTCAGCTTATAAAGCTATTCTTTGTAAAGTGTAACTAAATATACTAAGTGCTTAACGAAACGCATAACAATTCTCGAAAATACCTTAAAATTATGAAAACAGATTAGAGTAATTATAGTAGGTGTAATAAGAAGTTAACTAATAGTTACTACGTGAGAACTACTTTATTAGAAGACAAGCATGGCTAGAATTTCTGTGTGCCAATTATTCTAAATTACTGTGTCGTTAAACTAGTCCTTTAACAACACTCTCTCACCTGACTTTTTGGCACTGTTCCCTTTTCCGCCATTTTTATTTCTTCTCGGGTAAAGGTTTATTTTGCTCTGGCCACACCCCATCACCGACGCTGTCCTTAATCGTCCATTATGACAACGTCACTTCTACACCGTTTTTTTAGCACAACTTTTTTAGTTTCACTGGCCATTCAGCATTTTAAAATATGGCAACACTAAATTTAGAACATGGCGCGGGTGACACGTACAACTTTGTACTTTTAAATTTTTAACTTTACAACGCCTATGTGTATGCACTTCCATCTGTTTTTGCGTCTGTTTATTTGTTTCTTATTGAGAACCCGACGTGAATCCGCATCCATATTTTGTTATCTGCAACAAATTTTGAAACAATATTAATGAAGCAGTTTCCAATTTTAAAATAAGGCCAAGGTTTCTTAATTTGTTCTTCTTAAAAAGTTTTCTAAATAAAGATTTATTGATGTGAGATGCCAATTAAATTATACTAACAAACCAATGAACCAAATGTTCACCAAAACTTGATTTCCCGAAAACCTGAAGTGCTACGTTACTCAAATCCGGTTTGTAGTCTTATCAGACTATTCTTAACTTATAACTTAAATATTCTCTTTATCTATCTCTTACGGTTTGGCCGCTGAAACAGCACCACAGACGGACGGACTTGTCTAATAGATAAGAGATAACTTAGTAACCAGAACTATATTCCGTTCAGGAAATTATTAAATTATATAACTTAGCAACCAGAACTATATTCCGTTCAGGAAATTATCTCAATAATATTCGAAATTCGTTCCGAGGAAACAAACCCAAAGGGACAAGGTATTCGCGTAAACTTTCGGACAAACTAAACTTCAAAACACATAAATCATTAAACTACCTACGTGAAAAAGTTGAGTACTTAGGAATGCTTTTATATTGGAACTGCACAATATTAAAGGAAGATAGCAATGGAAAGCTAATTAATTCCTTTTATTATAAGGTTTTGTTCCCGAACTCATTTACTGATTTCTATGACAACAAAATGAACTACATCTGTTGCGGTTATTCAGCCCCTTAAAATATTGTTGTTTTAAATTGGTAATTTTATCAATAATAATCTCAATATTTTTTATAAATATTGAGATAATAATGAAAATATTCTAAAATAACAATCTAATTACATAATTACTTTATATATATACTAGAACAATAAAACTAAAAACCTTAAAAAATAAAATTAATAACTAAAATATATTATTGAGTCCCTTCACGCAAGGATCCAAAGATACTGGCAGCGTTACCCCTTTGAATGGCTAGACTAATTCTTTGTCCGAGGTAGCTGCCAGCTCCTCGGTCTCCTGTGATGTCGACTAACCTTTTTGCTATTTCCTTAAATAGCCTTAATATTTAGCCTTGGTAATTTTGTGTCCCAATCTCTATTAGATGTGACTAATTAAACAATTTATCTGAGTGCAGTGGTTGGTATCCTTTATTTCCCGATGGAATAGGATTAAAAAAAAACTTGATCGTATCTCTAGGCAACACACAATCACAGACTAAGTTATCCAAAATTGTCGGATTCCTCCTACTGACCGCTTTATTTAACTTTGTATTGTTCGGCTTAAGAATAAGGTACTAGGTATCGATTGAAAAGTTTGAAACTTTGTGGATACATCAATATAAATATAAGTTTGGTATGTCACGGGACCAGATGTTCTCTCCCATCCATCACACAAATAAATATTGACCAATAAAGAAAAATAAATTGAAAAAAAAAACATCCTGCACAGATTTCAGACGGGATTCGAACCAGCATGTTCCGCTATCCGGGCGGATGCACTAACCAATTATGCTCTTCGCATTATAAATAACCCACAATGTCGAACAAAATACCTTAACGATTATTAAACATTCGCAAGTAGAAAAAGCAATTTTAGATTATTTTATTTTATTTTTAACCTTTTAACTGCTAGATGTTTAAATCCAAAGAAAATATTACTAGAAAGGGGATTTTTTCTAGTATTTTTTTTTATGGCAATGTACATTTTTCGTTCAAATTAGAGCATCCCTTTTGGGAAGTAACCTCCGCCTTACAGAAGACCACAGTGAAACAACACAACCTTATGCTGTTGTTGTGTTTCTGTTGGGGAGTAGAGATTGAGTCCCGGGGCGCCGTGGTTTGATTCCCAATAAGGAACCCACGCCGTCATATCCGGCAGAGGAGAGCACATCCCGGAGTTTTAGTGGGTAGGGCCCCCCCATCCCGAGCAGCCACTGAGCCAGCCCTAGGGTTGGCTGAGTGGGTGCACGGGAGCACCCACATAACCCCGTCGCTTTACACAGCGGTGGGGTATGCTTCACGCATGCGTCAGACCATTTAAGTTTGACAAAAAGGGTAGGCACTTTGGTATCAAATATAACGATTTGTTATAGGTTATGACGGCCGTTTACCACTAGGCGGCCGCGGGCCATTTTATGCTTATCAAGCATAATCACCAATTTGACATCAAAAAATGCAATGCAGGCGAACATCTAATAAAATAAATTTTCATCTACTTTCATTTAAATAATACTAGCGGCCCGCCCTCGCTTCGCTTCGGTGTAGAGCTGAACAAAAACTGTATTACAGTTTTTGTTCTCAGGTTTGTATTATACACAATGACATTCATCTATGATTCTTCTTATACCTGCATGCAAAGTCTCAGCCCGATCGGTTTAAAATTGACAAAGTTTCATACAAACTTTCATTCCCTATTTTATCCCCTTGGGGGTAGAATTGATCAAAATCCTTCTTCTTAGCGGATGCCTACGTCATAACATCTACCTGCATGCCAAATTTCAGCCCGATCCGTCTAGTGGTTTGAGCTGTGCGTTGATAGAGCACTATGTCAGTCAGTTACCTTTAAGTTTTATATAAATAGATTCTAGATTTAAAATCGAAACTAATATTCACCAAATCCAATCAATTCAAATCCAATCTTGGTTAACTATAAATAAATAGATCACATCTTGTTAACTACTATGAAGCATATAAACCTGATTGGTTGCTTAATTTCGTCCGCGTACCGTTTGATCCTCATGCAATTGACCGTAAAATTGGTTTGATCCACCCAATGAGCAGGGAAAGCCATGTATGTGTGACTGACAATATCATTCATAACATGTTATTAAAGCCGCTAGCGGTTGTCCGCAACTTTTTCAAAGTAGGATAATAAGAAAGAGAGAAAGATAACCCTTGGCCTTCACAGGAATACATTAAAGAAAAGAAAACGATAGAAAAACACGAAGAAAGGAAATAACAGAGAGAAAAGAAACAAGATAACTAATTAATGTCCATTGTGCTGTGCAGAGCCAATACGTCGCTGTAACCCCTCGGCTGTTTAATAAGATGATTTCCGCCACGAGTTGAAAAAAATATTTTCATTTTTCATATTTTTCATTTTATCATATTTAGTAATAGTTTTTTATTTAAACATCTCATATATAGATAAGTTTGTAGAGAAACTATTCAGGATTTATTTAAGACATAAATGAAGCCTAGTAGAACTCGAATAGTAAGAGGAAAATTGGCCGGAAAACTTTTTGATTTTTCGCCCGTGGAAACAAAGTAGATGGTTACACAGCCGAGGGGATAATGGTTCATCGAAAAAAAATATACCTAATTTTCCTTTGAATTATTTTTGGCAACATAAGTAGCCCTTATGGCCCACTCCTTCTCTTACAAGCTGCATTTACCTCTACTACTAAAATTCTCCACAACCGGAAAATAAGAAACATTCTCAATGGCCGGTCATATGATGGGTGACCAAAAATGTACTACAATAGCCTTATGATGACGATGAACTGAATTGAAATGAAAGATTAAGCAGTGTTTTGTCCTTTTTACCCGACTGCGCAATGCAAGAGCGCGACGCGTAAACAGGGTTAGTGTTTATCAGTCATTATATGTATTTCATAGAATTGAAAACATTTTTTGAGTGATGTAAACAAAACACTACGTAACTATAATTATAGTAGGGGAGCCCAAGCGGAGATTTTGGGATTTACTCGAGCGCAGCAGATTAACATAAGGGGAGCAACTATCTTGTGAAGTACTCCCACCATACCTTAGCCCTTTATATAGTGTCGAACATTTAGGGCAGCCGATCAGATTGGTAAAAAAATCGATTGTTGGATAAACTCGAGCGCGTCAGATTAAACTAAGTTAAGTTAGTTACATACAGGAAAGTGTGCATTTCAATAATCTAACTATTTGAGGGTGACATAAGGAAATAGGAGAGTCACAAAGTTGTAATAAGAAAAATGTCACGAGCGCGTTTATACCTTTTTTTATTTTGAAGGAAATTAGTAAAGTATCACTGCGATAACATAATCTGCCGATTTGCACCAGCCGAAGTAGCTAAACTCATTAATAGAGTGTGGTGCATGCAGTTGCTGGGAACTATAATGAGAAATATATGTAAATGTTAAGCATATGAGGATGTCGTCATTACACCTGATATTCTAATGGATACTCGAGCTTCAGATATGTTTTTTTCGATACTTCAATAATGTTATGAAATAAATTAAATTAAATTTTAGTATCATACCCATTGTTTGTTGCAGATACTCAAAATGTTGATGAAAACGACCAAGGTGAACGGGAATCATATGAAGATGATTTCACTGACGATGAAGATTGAAAATAGTCATAAAAAAAGTATAGTATACATTATATAAACCTATTTCTTTTGAGCATCTAACCTTCACAATCCAATAGGTCCCAACGATGCTCGAGTAAATCCTTATTTAGCATCGTGGGCTCCCCTACTATTAGGTCCAAGCTTACATTTAAATAAATAAATAGGCTTTTGGCGGGATCGGGAAACGTCACTTTAGCAGTTTTGTTTTTCTTGTTAAAAATTGTGTTGTGGCGGATGTTTGTGTCTAATAAAGATGGATTATTAACCACTAAGTGTCCGGGAACATGCACAAGTGTTGGCTAGTGAAAAAAAAAGCGGAAAGTGTCTTTCGATGTTCCCTCAAGAAGTCCACGGGGAGGTTCCAGTAACTCCCCACACATTTACTGAAACATAGGGAAAGGGGGTTTGACGTGACTGCCACTTACTTTGACTTGATTTATTACTTTGACCACGAGTGCTATAGAATTTGTAAATATTGCGACAACTTGAAACCCGATGTACAAACCACTCGGCCCTGGAGGTCGAGTAAGGGCGAATATTTGAAAATTATTGTGTAACTTCCGATCAGGGAATCTGAAACGAGTCCGTTCAAAGGTAGTATTAAAAGAATTTAAATATTCACACTATAAGGCCGGTTTCAAAGTAGTACCGTTATTTAAGTTTCATTTAAACTTTCAGCGAGCACGAAAG